GGTGCAGAGACAAGTAGTTTAGAAGATTATTACCGTCTAAGATTATTATGTTGCTTCTTGAACAAATATAGGAAACAGCTTTTTGGATGAAAATACTGTCAAAAAAACTATGACAGACTTACCGAATTGGACAGGTAGCTTCGAAAATTAAATGATTTATAGTATCCAAATACGATTTAAATGATAGTTCATAAAATAGTGAATACAGTCCTTTAACATACACGGTTATATATATTTCTTGATATTAGGTAGAGGTTTGAATAGATCCTGTAGATACATAAAGTACGTGGGTTAAAGTATTCAAATACGATATAACCATATATTCCTTAAGGAATAGAATACAGATATGAAATACAAATCTTCGTCAAATATGATTATATATGGTTCCAAAGTGACAGAGTATAGTTTGATCGTATAGTCAAAATGAATATATGTAATTAGATTATTATGAATTATTGTATGGATATGGTCATAAATACCGTAAGTTAAACTCAGAAATTATCATATGGCATGAAATTCACAGTTTATATGTTAATAGTTAAGAATAGAGTTAACTTCTATAATTCCAATAAAAAATAATTCATCCAGCTCTGCGAGAATCCTAGAAAAATAAAACTAAAAACTTCGGCCTGAAAGTATCCATATCTTTCAAAAAAACCAACTAAGCAGTCCCACTTTCATTTGACACCATAAACGATCAAGTACCCCACTTCTCTACGATCATTTATTCTTTATTTACCTTCAAAGTGCATCGTTTGGAGATATTTTCAAGATTTTCCTATTTAGTAAATCCAAATCGATGCAACTTGACAGGTTGAATTTAGCCCGATTCTCAAAATTACCTGGACTGTTGTTTCAAACTGAATTCTAGAGATCATTAAAAAATTCATCGTCCATCTTTATTAACTTTGTTGATACTTTTTGCGTTTATATATCGTCTGGTCCACCACAATTATTTGGTGAGCCTCGAATTTGTTATAGACATTTTCTATGTATATATCTACATATATTTTTTATATCATTATTACTCGGCACGACACCATTTTTGTTTTTCCATTATGAATTCTCCTAACAAACTTTTCGACATAGATAGCCCATCTTCCAACTCCCTTAATGCATCAAAACTAGAAGACAATATTTTGAACTCGATAAACGCTATTTCGGAATTAAGATTACCAATGTACGGTGCCAACAATCCCAGAATTTGGTTTGCACAGGTGGACGCATTATTTATGACACGAGGCATACGATCACAGGCAACAACGTACGCATATGTAGTAGGCGCACTCCACACAGAGACTTTTGCTGAGGTAGGAGACTTCGTTGAATATGTACGACAATCGGAACCTTATGATAAAATAAAGACAGCCGTAATTCAACGCACCTCGGTCTCAGACGAGAGAGGACTGAATCGGTTGCTAATGTCTTGCGAATTGGGGGACAAGAGACCCTCGCAGTCACTCCGGCATATGAAAAATTTAGCAGGGTCATATAAGGTAGACGACGCATTACTTAAACAGATATGGTTTCGACGTTTATCATACAATGTCACCCAAATTCTCAACGTATCAGGAACTTCCGTCAATCTGGACGATCTAGCTGATATGACAGACAAGTTGATGGAGATTTATCCTGACAGTCGGTATTTGAACGCACTACAAACCTCTAGTTGGGACGCTATGATCATAGATCTGTGGATAGAGTCTGTCAAAAGTTGTAAATACCTTCAAGAAAGTGAACCTAGAAATTTATGCGGCTATGTGAGTAGCTGATTGAAGAGTTCAATGTACAGCCTGTTTCTTTCCGGTTACCATATGTGGTGGTATTTATAGAGAGTTCTGTGATCTTTTTCAGTTATTACACAGAGAGGGTGAACTGTATGACAGTAATTATATTTTCATGGGGGATTTTGTTGATCGTGATTATTACAGAATTGAAACTCTTCTTCATGTCTTAAAATCCAGTTATCCTGCACGAATAACATTATTGAGGGTAAACCATGAAAGTCGTCAAGTGCTATGTCTTCTACGATGAATGCATCAATAGAAATGGGAATGCGAATTCATGGCATGATTTTTGCAAAGTCTTCGATCTTTTTACTATAGCTGCATTAGTTAGGGAAAAAGTTCTTTGGGTTCATGGAGGTCTGTCAACTTAAGCCAGAACACTTGGTCAAGTTCGGACAATCGATACACATATGGAAATGCCCCATGAAGGTCCTTTTTATGACATTTCACTGTCAGATTCTTATGATGTAGCTCAGTGGGATGTCAATCCGGGTGGTGCAGAATACTTATTTGGACAAAAAGTCATTTACGAATTTGTCGAGTTAAAAGGTTTAGAGTCCATGAAGCTTACAAATATGTGTGTGATGGAGATCTTGTAGTGGCATTGGACCGTAACCAAGCAATCCTCAAAGATGACTACGAGACAAGTGGGAAAATAGATATTCAACATTTAACGCGGAGAACAACCTAATGATGGAAAAGATGGGAAGAAGGAATTGGATGAGTTCGAGTTGGTCGAATGTCGTGGCTCAGCCTTGCAGGCTTCATCGTACCTATGTAACAGTCTTCTATCCATATTAAATATGCTGTTCTATCTCCAGAATAAATATTTTCTTCATCATGTATCGATGATTGTTACAATACGAATGAATCAGAGTAGATAATGATGTGACATCCACGTAAGGTATTATAGACTGAGCAGATACATCATGACAAATCTACAATTAATAAAGAAGTACTAATATCGTAGTAGACCATAATTCTACAAGCTATTCACTATTTCTTCAACTCTAAATTACTGTTTTCGTTGCGGAAATATAGCAGTAATTTTGGACTTCCAAGGTCGGACACAATTTAACGACAAACTTTTTGAGGCTGTACCAGATAAAGAAAATGTCAAACCTCCTTTAAGGATTACTTATTACTTCTCATAACGGAATTCAAAACTTTAATTTCTTTTCTCTGCCTATTATAATGCATTAGTTAATTCCCATTCAACTGTAGCTAAAAAACAACACGAACTGCAACGTAAAAATAGGTAATAAACTTATACAGATCTCTAGGATTTCCATCCGAAGGTCAGATCTATGTAGTTTGATAAACAAACCCACAAATAACTTCTATTTTGACTGGAATTATTGTAGTCAAATAGCCAAATGCCATTGTAGTTTCATTGGGCCCTAAACACACAATCCTCAAAGCTGAACACGAGACAACTGAGAAACTAGATATTAAATATTTAGCGCGGAGAAAAGCCCATCGATGGAGAAAGCGGGAACAAGAAATGGTATGAATTCGAATTGATCGGATGGCGTGGCTCAGCCATGCAGGCGTGGTCACTGTTAAACGTTATCTTATATTTTTTATTCAGATTAAATGTATTGTTCTATCTCTAGCCTGAATGTGTTCTTCATTATATAGTGATGATTGTTACAACGCGATGAGTTGGTGTCGATCATAATGTGAATTTCACGTATGATCTTATAGGTTAGGCAGTTACAACATGATAAATCTAGAATTTTAGGATTAAGTTTATTATTAGAGCGGTAATAATAACGAAGTAGGCCATAATTCTACATATGTTCATGCTAAAGATATAGGTCGACACAATGAACCTTCAAGCTACTGACCAGTGGCCGTTCTCTCTATTCCTTCAAAAATTACGGAGTCCCTGATATGAGACGGTATGCGCGACTGTTTATTATCCTTAAACTTTTTTTCACACCAACAGCATGGTTTCAGAAAGGCCATTCTTGTATAACCAGCCTGCTAGCTGCGGTGAACAGATGGACAACCATCCTTGATCGCATGTGGAAGGTTGACATCATTTGCCTTGACTTCTCAAAAGCTCTTGATAGGGTCAACCATGAATGTCTTATCAATAAGCTCAAACGATTGGGTATCAAATCACCTTTAATTGACTGGCTCACTTAATATCTGAGAAATCGACATTTTAGGGTCAGGGTCAATTTCACTTTCTCTCAGGCTATGGAATGTCCTGGTGTCGTCCCCCAAGGTTCAGTACTAGGATCTAATCTTTTCTTGATTTCTATAAGAAGACCTTCCACAACAGGTGTCGTCTGGCTTATTACTTTTTGCCGATGATGTAAAACTTTGGAGAGAGAGATACGCAACCAAGAGGATATACTGACTTTTCAGGGGGATCTGACTCGACTTCATGATTGGGCAGATGACAAAAGTAGTCCATCTGAAACATGTTGCAGACTACAGTTTCAACTTAGAAAACTTCTCTCCAAAAGTATCCCGAGTTGTAAAAGATTTAGGAGGACTGGTACCCTACGATTTGAAGTCATACGCTGACTGTGGCAAAAATGCCTTTCGAGCAAACCTTACACTGATAACATTGAAGCTCATTTTTGGCCAGTTTGACGGTAGAACTTTCCATATTATCTTCAGCAGTTTTATTCATCCCCATTTTAAATACGGAAACATAGTGTTTCCTCCCTCACTCCAAAAGGATAAGGACACTCAGGAGTGTATCCAACGGCGAGCAACAGAAACAGTCCGCGGACTCAAATTCAATTCTTGTGAAGAGCGCCTCCAATCACTAAACCTTTAATCATTAGAGTATAGGCGTCCTAGATTTGACCTTCTAATGGCTTACACTATCCTTAACACTTCTGGACATCCCCTTTAAACACCTACTTAAGTTTAGCTCCAACATAAAACTAAGGGGTAACACCCAGAAACTAGAGACACAACACAGCAGAACGGACAGTAGACACAAGTTCTACTCCTTAAGAGTCGTCAAACACTGGAATTTGCGACTTCCTAGGAGTCATTTAAGAGGCAACTTGACTTATTCCTAAGGTCTAAGGATAATATCTTATTATGACTTACCAATTGTTTTTTACTCTGTTATCGTTAATATATCTAGGTTCCTGCCTGAAGGTATTTATGTTTCACTGCTACTAGACGAAGAAGCCCGTTAGGCGAAAGCTTCTTCTATTCCGTCCACAATCAATCGATCCATTTGAACCATTGGATCCGTGCGCAGATTTCAAATGTGGCGTTGAAATCTGTTTTGTATCTTTGGTTTTATAGTTCTCTTGATTATGAGTAATTTCGCTTCCTCTGCATTTTCTTGTGCTTTTAAAAGCTGGAAGACACATGGACGTGGATTGTTAAGTATGTTTTACTGCTTTATAGAGTGATTAGTTGTTGCCCGCTATGGAAATAATGCGTGGAATACGTACGAAAATCTAACACTCTCACGGGTTTCAGACGTTGATGTTCACGAAGATTGCAACATTTCGGGGCATTGCAAAACGGCCGAATGCCGCAAAAGTAGTGAGTATTTTAGATCAAATTTTTTTCATGCAGTATATACGGGGAATCGTTTTTTGCCTAAATATCCCATGATAAGCCTTATTTCCCGGTATCATGAAGCAAATTCGAGTGCTATGTAATTAATACGTCCTGCTCCTGTCGCTTTGATCCCATGTTTATGAAGAGAAATGAGTTTTTGCCAACGAATTGTGGTGTTTGTGGCTGAATAGGCGAGACTGATTTCTAGAGAAACTAGTCAGGTTTAAAACAACAGGTGTTGAATTTGGAGAGAGTTTAATTCATTCGTTTGACTAACAAGCATATTGGCACTATAGCTGAAGTCAGTTCATGATGAGAACCCTTCCTCCAATTCCTAACCCCGACGTCCATTTGTAAATAATAACCCTAATTCCTTAAACTGCTATATATGATCATCTCTTAACCATAGTTAGTAGGTAATCAGCCTGAGGATTTCTTTAGCGTCCCTTTAGGATCGTTCGAAATCGATCTCATCAGTCAATCGGTTATGAGCAGGTAGGTTCAAGCTTATGATTTTGACCTTATCCCCACCTTTTTAGATTTTTAAAATTCTAAAGTAAATTTGTGAGACCGGCTTTTTGATCAAGGTGTTTTAATATGCTTCTTAATACATGCATATGCGTCTCATAAGCAAACAAGTAGTATTAGTTTGTATACTACTAAAAAGGGTTGAAATAGTCCTATGGAAGGTTTCAGTAGTTAGCTCTTACTTTTAAGTCATTGTAAACACCGAAAAAACGTCTAAATTGTCTGAAATCTTTAGAGTTTTGCAACTTCTTGGTCCCGAATATGTCATGCTTGTCAAAGTTTCTGATTTTGCTATGCATTACATTGACATTTCTTACCACTCGCCCCGTGTGACCTAAATTCTCATGGTATTGGTTTACACATTCATTCTTATTCATTTAAAACTACACTCTGGCTGTTACTAATCATTTGGTGTGACTTAACTTTCAAATACTTCCACGAATTCGATGTTCATCTTGTTTCGCTAATACAGTGTGGCAACTTGGACTGATGCATATATGTGCCTGGTCCTACGTTGCAGCTGACTGAATACTTAAATGTTCTCGTTAGTGAACCATTAGCGGCTCTAATGAACCTTCAATCTCAAGTGAACATGTTGGTTTCGTTTGGGAATGTTTCTATTGAATAAATGCTTATGTATTAAGTTTTTCTATGGAAGCTATTTTTATCCTATTTCTGTACCTGGAATTTAAACGTCCCTCATCTTTTGTAATTCTTTCTTGAATCCTTGGTATTCGAAGATTACTTGTAGCATTAAGATAGGTATTGATACTTATTATCATTCGTCAAGAAGGGATGCATTGTAATTGTGTCGTCAACACGCTAGAGTCAATGATTGATGTTTTCATTCAGTCCTCACGATTAATTTCCCATTTTCTGAAGACGTACATAGTTGCGCTATTTATGTTCAATTATGACCTTTCCACCGATCGTTGAAATAAGTTAATACATTCGCTATATGGCTATAGGTTGTGGTTATAAGTGTAACAGAATCAAATATTGATAAGAGCGATATTTCACCATCTTATTATTGAAATAATGAAAGCAACTCGTGTCGTTAAAGAAAAAATGCGGTCCTTCAAAGTTTTTCTTTTCGACGATTTTTGTTTACCTAAACCATACAATCGTACTTAGTTAACTTTATTTGCCGAAATATAGTCTTTTGTAGAATAGAAGTGTTGAATATTTAAATAACTTGAAGTTGTATCTTGTCATGAATTGTTTACGAAAATCAGATATTGAGAGGTAATGTAATAGTCGGCTAGTGAAAAAGTGGTAAGGTGGAGATAATTGTCCACTTGATAGCTATAAGGAATGGGATAATTAAAAGTCATAATCATTGTTAATTATTAGTTTTGAAAGTAATTGAAAGGAGGGGAAATAAAGTGAAGATGGTAAATGATAGGTTATAGTAGAGAGAAAGGTTAAAACCATGAGTGAATGAGGGGTTGAACATACTGTTTTTTACACAGAAGCTAGACTTAAAACGATAGATAACAAGAGCTTCTTATGTACATAAGTTTTTCGTTTCTATTCCTTTTGTATGTATGATTTTAAAGGTTTATGGTCAAGCGAAATGACCAGAATTGATTAGATTCTCGAAAAGTGGGCTTTTGACTGACTTCTGTAATCCTTTGGAAAGCTGGACAGGATAATGTTCGGTGATGCGTTTCGAAAGAGCTGTTATAATTGGCCGGTCGGGTGGTAAACCCTCGAACTTTATGTATCAATAACACTTCTTTGTTTCCTTCTGTTTGACTGTTTGGTTGTTAGACACAGTTATATGGGAAGTGATCACTTGTGAATTAACAAAATAACCCAGTTAGTAACAGATGATTAGCGGTGACGTCGAGAAAACAGAACTAAAATAAGTGAATCCATTCATAACATATATTTTGTTCAGGAAAACCATTATGTTTCGTTCTTGTCTCTAGTTGTTCGTTCTTGTCTTTATATTTACTAGGTAAAAGTCAAAACCCAGGGGGACCTTCAGAAGGTAGTGGTTCCCTCAACTCCGCCAATGTGAACCATCATAGTATCGGTTCTAAGGAACGTCTTGGTGGTGCTGGAGGAGGAGGCTCTGGAAATGGCACTGGCTCTTTCATAAGATGTAACAAATGTGGTGGTCCTTTAAAATCTCTTGATCCAAAAGCATCATGTAATTGTTTAATGTTTATTTGTTTAGACTGTTTTCAAGTTGGTTATTTAAATCTATTTATTTTCATTTAAGATGGTTTCAGAATGCTTTCTCACCATAGTTATGTTTTAATTGCAACTACTTTTACTTTGACCATCACTTACGAGTACGGGAATACAAAATTGTGTTTTGCAAGTGGATTGAAGGGGGAAGTATTGGTGGTAACCATTGAAGTGTAGAATAATAGAAAGACAATCGAATCGAGGACATTTCCCAATAATATACCGATTAGAGTTGTTACATCTTTTAATCATTACAAATAAAACGAAATATAAAAAGAATGCCATTCATAAGTAGTGTGGGACGTAAAACGCATTTGTATCAGTCTAAATTATATTAGTTAAGCAATATGAATGCCAAGTAGTAGTAGAAAATGATTACTTTAATCTACAAGGACGAGGAAGAAGCCATACTGAACGATATTAATTCACATATGAGTCACTAGCAACAAGGTAACCAAAACCGTGTACAACAGTTTCTTCTTTGGTAACTGCTTTTTACAATTCACATCAAATATTCCTTATTCAGCTGTTGAATCATTTAGTGAAACTTGAACAATGTAAAATAGTTTGTATAAAAAACTTCCCAAGCCGTATTCATGCTCAGTTTCTGCTTAGTATCTTTGGTGCTACCATAATTTAAATTTCTTTGATATGCATCATGTTCATTTCCTCTTTTCGCTTTGATGGAATGAGCATCTGTACCAGGTCCTGTGTTGATTATCACTAACCGATTTGAGACAAAAGGCTAACATGAATTCCTATCTGGTTATAAACTTGTATATACTATGAAACAATTCTAAAGAATCAGTGACGACCCAAATCATTCACGTATAATTGTTTAAGATACCTCAAAGAGTTATGTTTTATCATAATACTCTAAATTCTAATCTCTTTATCATCCTCTGAGAACATATAAGCACCGTTTGTTTTCGTCCTTTTTTCTATTATTTGTTTCAGTTTAATCCTTAATTGCAATATAACGTAGCAGTAACGTTTATAACATATGCGCTGTGTGAATTCCAGTCTCATGATAGACATGCCTTTCATAATGTGTTTGAGAACGTAACCTATTGGTGTACCAAGAAGTATAAAATTTAAATGTAAATATAAATTACTGGTCGTCTGAAATCGTTTATTGGCACCTATAGGGTAAGGTTTGCCAACGCGTATAATGATTAGAATTTTGATATACTAAAGTATTTTATCAGTATATTTTAAAAAATGTGTAGTTTATTTATTCCAATGCAAACGCTCCATCCAGTATTTATAAAAGAGTAAAAATAAGCAAGTTCGCGGGATCGGATAGTATCACTAGACACCAAAGAAAATATGGCTTGAGGCTCAGTTACATAAGTTGGTATGTAGTTACTGAGTTTCACTAAGTTACATTTAGTCTCCCTAATTATTTACTATGAGTATTCGTTATGCATCATAAGTAACCAATTTCGTAAACAATTATAAGTGATTTTACTAACTTCATAATTAATTATATACACTTTTACAGATATATCACGTTTCATGGAGTGTGAAGCATGTGAACAACTCTACGAATTAACAGATAAGAGTGATCTCTCATCATTTAGTAATGTAGACGAAAGCCGACATCTTTCGCTCGTTAGTCCTAAGGAGGCAAGTCATTCTTTGTGCAAATATGTAGTCTTTTTAATACCTTGTTTACTCTTTTAATTACTAGTTTCGTATTTACAGTTTTTAGTGTCTATGACGCTATTGTCGCGATATATTGTAGTAGAATATCTTCGAGATTATTCCTATACTTCATATATTACTCGTCCTGATAACCGTCATTATAAAAATTTCCCAACAGTGTTTACATTTCAGAAGCAAATACAGCTTATTTTCGCTCACCACAGAACAAACGACCATCAAGCACGATGCGAATATGAATATGAATAAATGAATGAATAGAAATTAAAATGCACAAATTTATAAGGATGCAAATGAGTCATCATGCTTTTTAAGTAATTGACATCTAGGTTAGTAAGAGGAATATATGTGTGGACTGTAACACATTCTCAATCATCTATGATCATACAACTTACTTATGCCTGTTACTCGTGAAGGAGCATAGGCCGCTCGCCAGTACTCTCCATCCAACCTTGTTTTGGACAATCCTTTCCAGCTCCTTCCAGTTGTTATTCATCCTTTTCATATCTGCTTCTATTTTCCGACGTAATGTGTTCTTTGGCTTTCCACTTTTCCGCTTCCCATCAGGACTCCAAGTTAAGGCTTGCCTCGTGGTTCAGTTTGATGATTTTCTCAATGTATGTCCTATCCATTTCCATCGTCTTTTCCTAATTTCTTCTTCAGCTGGAAGCTGGTTTGTTCTCTCCCGTAGTAGGCTGTTGCTGGTGGTATCCGGTCAATGGATGTTGAGTATGTTGAGGTATACTGCTGCAAACGCTGATGCTACGCCGACTGTGTTCACCTATATCTGTTGGCGTGTATGAGATAGAAGGACTAGGTCTTCTACAAATTCCAAATTCTTTAGTTGCATGAGAGCTGTCCATTTTATCTTGTGTTTTCCCTCAGATTTCGAGGTCTTCATAATCCAGTCGACCACCAGAGGAAATAGAAAGTGGAAGGGAGAGAGTAGACAGCCTTGTCTGACACTGGTCCTTATTTGAGATGCATCTGTCAGCTGTCCTCCATGCACGACCTTGCACTGTAGTCCGTCGTACTAGTTCCGAACAACTGACAATCTTCTCAGGTACTCCATAATGTCGAAGAAGTTCCCATAATTTTCTCCTATCTACACTGTCGAATGCCTTTTCATAATCAATGAAGTTGATGTACAGTGACGAGTTCCACTCAACTGACTGTTCGACGACGATCCGTAGTGTTGCAATTTGGTCTGTGTATGACCGATCCTTACGGAATCCAGGTTGTTGATCTCGAAGTTGGGCGTCTACTGCATCCTTCATCCGGTTCAGCAACACTGTTGAAGACTTTCCCTGGTATTGACAGTAGTGTAACGCCTCTGTAGTTTTTACATTTGCTCAGATCTCCTTTCTTTGGAATCTTGACGAGGTGTCCTTCTTTCCAGTCCATCGGCACTTGTTCCTCCTCCCAAATATTTTTGAATAGTTACTTCGATGTCTGACTTCAGTGCTTCAACTCGTATATTGTCGGGTCTTGCGGCTTCCCCGCTCTTGATTTGTCTGATGGCCATCCTGATTTCTTCGGTCGTTGTGGAGGGATATGTATAGGAAGGTCTGTGTGTGCTGCTTCGACGTCCGTAGGATTCAATGTAGCTGGTCTATTCAAGAGATCCTCAAAGTACTCTACCGATCTGTTCCTCTGTTCTTGAATTTCAGTAATTAGTCTGCCTTCTTTGTCCTTGACAGGTCTCTCTGGTTTGCTATATCTGGTGCCCCCTTGTACCAATATTTATGTGTTCAAATGAATAAATAAATAATAATATATCTCCCTGCTAGTTTCTTCGTTGTATCATATACTTACTTACTTACTTACGCCTGTTACTCCTCGTGAAGGAGCATAGGCCGCTCACCAGCATTCTCCATCCAACCCTGTCCTGGGCAATCCTTTCTAGCTCTGTCCAGTTGTAATTCATCGTTTTCATATCTGCTTCTATTATCCGACGCAATGTGTTCTTTGGCCTTCCTCCTTTTCGCTTCCCTTCAGGATTCCAAGTTAGGGCTTGCCTCGTGATGCAGTTTGACGATTTGCGTAATGTATATCCTATCCATTTCCATCGTCTTTTCCTAATTTCTTCTTCAGCTGGAAGTTGGTTTGTTCTCTCCCACAGAAGGCTATTGCTGATGGTATCTGGCCAATGGATGTTGAGTATCTTGCGTAGACAGTTATTTATAAATACTTGTACTTTCTTGATTGTGGTTGTTGTAGTTCTCCAAGTTTCAGCTCCATACAGTAGAACTGCCTTGACGTTCGTATTGAAGATTCTCACTTTGATATTGGTTGAAAGTTGTTTTGAGTTCCATATGTTCTTCAATTGTAGGAATGCAACCCTTGCTTTGCCGATCCTCGCCTTTACGTCTGCATCTGATCCTCCTTGTTCATCGATGATGCTTCCCAGGTATGTGAAGGACTCTACATCTTCCAGAGTTTCGCCATCAAGAGTGATTGGATTGCTGTTCTCCGCTTTGAATTTGAAGACCTTAGTTTTCCCTTTGTGTATGCTGAGGCCTACTGATGCAGAGACTGCTGCTACACTGGCTGTCTTCATCTGCATCTGTTCGTCTGTACGTGATAGGAGGGCTAGGTCATCTGCGAAGTCCAAATTGTCTAATTGATTCTGAGCTGTCCATTGTATTCCGTGTTTTCCTTCAGATGTTGAGGTCTTCATAATCCAGTCGACCACCAGAAGAAAGAGGAAGGGAGAGAGTAAACAGCCTTGTCTGACTCCGGTCTTACTTGGAATGCATCTGTCAGCTGTCCTCCATGCACTACTTTGCACTGTAGTCCGTCGTATGAGTTCCGGATAATATTGACAATCTTCTCAGGAACTCCGTAGTGTCGAAGAAGTTTCCATAATGTCTTCCTATCTACACTGTCGAATGCCTTTTCATAATCAATGAAGTTGATGTACAGTGACGAGTTCCACTCAACTGATTGTTCGACGACGATCCGTAGTGTTGCAATTTGGTTTGTGCACGACAGATCCTTACGGAATCCAGCTTGTTGATCTCGAAGTTGGGCGTCTACTGCATCCTTCATCCGGTTCAGCAACACTGTTGAAGACTTTCCCTGGTATTGACAGTAGTGTTATGCCTCTGTAGTTTTTACATTTGCTCAGATCTCCTTTCTTTGGAATCTTGACGAGGTGTCCTTCTTTCCAGTCCATCGGCACTTGTTCCTCCTCCCAAATCTTTTTGAATAGAAGATAAAGCATGCTTGTGGTTGCTTCGATGTCTGATTTCAGTGCTTCAGCTGGTATGTTATCGGGTCCTGCTGCTTTCCCGTTCTTGATTTGTCTGACGGCCATTCTAATTTCTTCCGTAGTTGGTGGATTGACATCTATAGGAAGATCTATGTGTGCTGCTTCGATGTCCGGTGGATTCATTGGAGCCGGCCTATTCAGGAGTTCCTCGAAGTATTCTACCCATCTGTTACGCTGTTGTTGAATTTCGGTGATTGGCTTGCCTTCTTTGTCTTTGACCGGTCCCTCTGGTTTACTGTATTTCCCTGATAGTTTCTTCGTTGTATCATATAGTTGTTTCATATTTCCTTCTCTAGCAGCTTTTTCCGCGTCGTTGCTAGTTCTTCCACGTATTTCTGCTTGTCGGCTTCAATGCTCTTCTTCACTTGCTTGTTTTCTTCTGTGTACTCAGCTTGTGCTTTGGCTTTCTCTGCTCGTGTTCGGCTGTTATTAATTGCTGTTTTCTTGTTCTTCTCTTCTTTGATCTTGTTCAGTGTTTCTTTAGAGATCCATTCCTAATGTGATGCTTCTTTTGGTCCAGAACCTTCTGACATATTGAAGTTAATACTTTTCTGATACCTTTCCAGTTGTCCTCCATAGTAGTTTCTTCTTCTTTCAGTAGGTCCTGTAAAGCTTGGAACCTGTTGTTAAGAGCTATCTTGAATTCGTTGAGTTTGTTAGTATCTCGTAGGAAGGCTGTATTGAACCTTTGTAGTGCTGTTTGTCCAGTTGTCCAGTTCTTGTTTAGCTTCAGTTTTAAATTGGCCACAACTAGGTGGTGATCTGAAGCTATATCAGCTCCTCTCCTGCTCCTCACATCTTCCATTGTCCTTCGGAATTTTTTATTGATGCAAATATGATCTATCTGGTTCTCTGTGGTGTGGTCCGGTGAGATCCATTTAGCTTTGTGCATACGTTTGTGTGGAAATATTGTGCTGTCTATAACCAATTTGTTGAATGCATATAGATTTGTAAATCTTTCCCCATTTTCGTTTCTCTCTCCCAGTCAATCCATGTTGTCCCATGGTATCTTCATATCCGGTGTTGTCTATTCCGACTTTGGCGTTTAGATCTTCCATCAGAATGTTGAGGTCCTTTCTTGGGCACTTCGCTATGGTTGATTGCAGCCTCTCATAGAATAGATCTTTATTGTCGTCATTGATATCATTGATGGGTGCATAACATTGGATAAAATTTGTTGTGATCCCCTCCTTCTTTGTTTTGAATGATGCTTTGATGATTCTGGATCCGTGAGATTCCCATCCAACAAGTGCATTTCGTGCTACTTTGGATAGCATTAGAGCAGCTCTCTGAGTGTGTAGAGCATTTTCCTTTTCGTGGCCGAAGTACAGCATCATCTCTCCCGTATTTAGCCTTTGTTGTCCAGCTTGGGTCCAATGGGTTTCGCTGATTCCCAGTACTGCCAATTTGTATCTCCTCATTTCCGTTGTTATTTGACTGGTCTTCCCGGTCTCCCACATTGTCCGGACGTTCCATGTACCTATAAAAATTGTTGCTCTAGTTGTTAGGAGGGGCATCAACCTTGTGGTTTCCGAAGGAACTTGGCTTTCACCATGAGGCGTCATAACTCTTCTAAATGAAGACTTTCTAACTCCCAGGGCAGAGTTTAAATGGTTTGAATTTTTTTTTCTGGTTGGTGTTTTTTTTAACGAGTTGGTTTTCTACGGGATGGGGTCGCTAACCTCATGCCCAACCCTCCTTTACCCGGGCTTGGGACCGGCAGTAACTCTAGAAGGGCTACAGATGGAGTTATGATCAAAGAAGCCTGGGCATAATAATAGTGCGGTTGTTGCCGACACAAATGAGACTTGAATAAGTTGACTAAAAGGCTCGATAAATCTAAACATGTACAAACCCGAGTTTCGGTGATGACAGTAAAATAAAATGATGGATTAGTCGGATTAATTCTTTTTATCCAACTGACCCCTGTAGTCTAAATTAGAATAAAATCGGTAAGTGGTTAGTGCTAGAGATCATAAGAGTTTCGGCAATAATAACCATATATTTCTTGGCAGATATGAAAGTCATTTATGGTCCACGCTTGTTAGCACATCAGTATGGTGTATGTCTACGATTTCGAGCGAATGTATGTGTTCCAAGTTTCAAATGTACACTGCTTAAGCACCCTAACCATTAACACCAGGACTTTCTTAGCGTAAACTAAATCACCGTAGAACTAAACGATGAAGTTAAATCGGTTTCCCAATGATAATTAGAATATTTCGTTATTCATCGAATTTCAGCAGTCACTTTCCTCAAATATTCATTCGATAATTTTAATTTTGTTACATTTGATGAGTGTAGGGGTTGGAGTAGTAATCCAACACATTGTTGAGTTCTTTTTCTGTATAATTATTCCGTTAGATAAAATTTAATACCCTGTAATATAGCTTACGGTTAGTAGTTGTACAGGTATTTTTTACAGACCATCTATAGATCTAATAGGTTATGGTTAATGAAATTGTGCTGTGTACCGACGGTGAATATCTAATGTACAGATTATAAATATCCTGGAAGTATGCAAATGTTAGGCGCATGCGTTTCATAAACATATAGCAATACTCTTTGACACGATTATAAATAATGATTATTGACTGAGTATGTTTATTACCTGATGTCTAACAACGTCTAAGTGCGACGTTGCAAGACCTCTTTGTTAAATATCAACGTGTGATATGTATGTATGGCACTGAAAGAGTATCTGGATGCTTAGAGAGCCAGTATATTTTTCGTAAAACTCCATTTTGTCTTTATTTGAGACTGCAATAGCTTAGTATATAATATTTCACAGGCCTTCAAAAGGTTATTCACTTTTAGTGGAAATTATGGTATGCGTTACACTTTCTTTAGATGTTATAAAGTTTGAGAGGAAAAGAGTAAGTTAGTCTATGAAGTTGGAAACCCTTAACAGCAGGTGACTTCACCCAGTCACGGTTTACCGAAATATACAATGCAAATTAGTATAGAACTATATTGAGCAGTGTGTTTTCTAGGTTAATTAGAGCCACTAAGATGTCAAAAATCAACAGTTGTAAACCTTAAGTGGTTTTATTCGTCCGTTTATTTTTTCTGTTGTCAGTTAGCTTATTCGTATTACTTTTTTCTCCTTATAAATGGATATTAGCCAGAGAAATATTGATTAACCACCAATCACCTGATTTTTTCGAAGTAAATCTTTTGTAGGACTATAGTTCGTCAATAGTAAATATATTTTCTGTGACATTGTGATCAATTTGGCATCAGCTAATGTTATATATCTTAGTGGAATGAACTTTCATCTAATGAATTTCGTTGTCTTATTCAATATAGATTATGCACATTAACGATTGCATCATACAATGCTAGTTACTGTTCAAATAACTATAAAACCTTGTCCTATATTTTTGGTCTGTTTACTCAAGGTTGAAAAATGGTTGAGATGGAAAACATTATGCTTTGATAGAAGGCAATTCATCCTTGTTTATCATATTCATGAAGTTATACGTTTTTTTGATCATTACGTGTTTGAATCTTGGTTCACTTAAAAATGATATTGTCCATCATTAATTTGCCCTGATAAGATGATCTAATATGGAATATTTGACGTCTGTAAATTGTTCCTAATTATTAGGTCTTGGATCTATTGTGTCTTATTAGTGACAAATACAATTGACCTAAAGTAAGCTCTGTTGGTGAGTTGTAGGTGCTGTATAACTTCTTTTTTCCCAACCCAGTCTCAATTAAATATAATTTGTAGGAAGAAAAGGAATATGAGCTTTCTAGTAGTGAAGTGAAGACAGACTAGAGAATCGAATAGATTTTCTCACCATTATTACCACTTCAAATAATTCATTTAATGTATTTGTTCCATATATTTGTTTATTGTCATTAGAAATGTTCTCTTTACTCCGATTTATATTAGATACATCAATACTTAGATCGTTATGTGGTAGGTCAAGATAAAGCCAAAAAAATTCTTGCCGTCCAAGTATATGCTCATTACAATCGTATACAGTATAATCGGTCACTGGCTACCTCGGAAAATAATGGATTTAATTCAAATAATTTAAACTCAGGGACAAATGAAGCCAAACCTACTGTAAATAATCATTATTCCCCAAATGAATTTTCGGGTACACGTTCTTGTACACCTGTAAATTATCAGAGCAGTTTAAGTCAACCCTCTGTATCTGGTACGAATATTTGACTTGCGTTTGTGAAAGTTGTCCATGTTCTTTGTATCTATTTTAAAGTGATTATAAACACTTACGATTTCGTTTTCAAATTATTTATTTATTTGAATATAAATACTGGTACAAAAAGGCACCGAATATATATGCGCCACACAAGTCACTTGATTTGTGTGTGGGCTGTGATACTGCCCGGGTGCCCAGACCGAAGCAGGTGGTCTTCTTAGGGGGCCACACCCGGATCCTTCGACCTAAAGGTCTGATCCACAAGGTAGTGGAGCAATGTCAGGAGATGCAGTACCATAGTAGCTGGTGACCAATGATTGGTTTATGCGCCATTTGTTCCCTCAGGATCCTGGTTTCCATGTGCACCATTAGTTTGGAATAAGGGTTTTTCAACACCCCTAGGTGGATCCTCCATATCCACCAACCCGCTTAAAGCGCCGGACATTTGATTTTCGTCCATTCAATTTCGTAAACAACACTTTCTTCGCGAGAATTCAGTGAGTAGGACTTCCCTAGCAATCGCTGTTTACGCGTAACCATGTGAGAGCATTTCGAGGAGATTTGACCCCTCTCACCCTCGGTCTTACCAGGGCATTTGGGGGCTTTTAATTTTCTGAGACAAAGAGTTTGTCGTGGTCGGAGTATTCACGTTCAAATCGAGAATGAAATACAATTTGCTTAACTGTCCTCACATTCCAAACCAGAACTAGTGAAGGAACAATGACAGAGGAATCCATTTATTCAACAATTACAGCAAGTTTATTCACTATTACAACAATATTGGCATGATGTCAATAACAACTCTCTAGATAACACCAATAAGAATAAACATCGTGCGTACTTTCGTTTGAAATTCTCACTGACTATGAAATCCAACCACAAGATGTACACCCAGACGCAATACAAACCACGAACAAAACCACAATATGGGGGTGCTGGGGCTAGAAAAGGAAATGTTAGGACGACTAAACAAGATCAATGGTGTCAACACATCTCCCTTAACAGAGATCATGCTAACAAGTCTACTAATTATAACATTGTGTATTAAAAATTCCAGATGAAATAGTTTGTTGCAAACAAGGAAATTACACCTGATTAATTGATAAGAGTTGCTACTAGCATCGTTATAATAATAACAATGGTAGTAATTATTATTATTACATTCTCTCCATTGGAAATTAATTATTAGTAGTGATTGTCCCAAAATATGCGGTATGTTTAAGTTTTATTTTTAAATAATTGGATTTCTAGCGCACGCAGTCTAATTTTAATATGGTCGAATCGTTAATGATGTAGACGAAAGATAGATCGTACTTATATGGTATATGTTCTATTGACAAATCCCGTTAACAGCAACGCATGTATCAAAAGTCGGATATAAGTTTTTTGGATGTTTGTGTTTCATTTATTTATTTCAGTGGACAGACGAAGAGATAAAAACACAGAAGACGAGGGTTTCTACTTAAAATATTACTCATCATAAGCGTTAATATGGCTCAAAATAGATTATATCATGGGGCGACAAGGAGATAGCTATTGGGTAGAATAGTGAATGTATAGACAATCAAACGCACATAAGACGCATAAGTGTGGATTTGTAAGGACATAAATGTATGAGGTATACGTGCTGAAGGCCACAGTTTCTTATGGAAATAGTAGTTGTTAGGATAGTAGGAATGAATTACTAGTCACATGTTGGCTGAATTATGAAAGTTCTTCCAAAAGTTAGAGTTCATCACGCGTGAGTGTAAAATAGCACAAAAGTTTCTGAAAAAATTGCCAGTCCTTGTAAAAATTAGCAATAATCTCATCAACTTATTTCATTTCGGTTTCTGAACAACTGACCATTCTTGTTTGTTTTTGTATTTTATTCTTGATAAAATAACTATTTCATATCATATACAATCATTTTGATTTGTACTTAGTGAACTCATTAAATGCTGATATTATTATTATTTTTTTTACATTCTATGTTTATCTTCTTGAACTCAACATACTCACATTCTACTTATTTTTAGAATTATTTAATTTGTCACGCAATGGTTCACTAAGTTCATCGAAAAATCCATTTACACATGGAGGTAGTCCAACAAGTTCATTTCCATTTCCAATTACTTTAGAAAATTTATCTGATATGAAGGATGATCGAGAAAAACATCGTGCCTCACGGATTTTTAAAGATGATGTTGATCGTCCATTAAAATTGGAAAAAAGCAACATTATATTGTTAGGCTCAACAGGTTCAGGTAATGTGGATTTCAAAATTATTGATTTTGGAAAAATAAGTAATTCCAAGTCTGTTTTATGTGAAATAGTTTTTGTCCTTTTTGTACTTCTTTTTCTGGCGTAGGTGTATACACTCTCTGTTTTCCCTTAAACTATGAGATTAAAATTGCTTCATGTCTTTCTTTCTACGAACTAATTCTTTCTTCCTGTACCATGTCCTTATATGAAATCTTTCTTTTATATATCACCACCACTGAATGAACTACATTTATGAATCCGCTGTTCATCTTGTTGTGTTAATGAATTATGGCAACTTGGACCTATACACATATGTGCCTGGTATATTTTATAGCTGACTGACTGAGTTCTCTGTGCTTCATCACTCAATCAAAAGAAAAAAACTGTACGATTAAGTAAATTTATTATTTATAAATATTCTGACCGTTTACACACTGTAAATGTGTGTGTGAATAATTAAATAATTAAAAAAGACAAATAATTATATTAGTTATTTATTTGTGACATAGTTAATCATTAACATTAATAACTTATGGAATGATTTGCTCAGATGAGAATGGGGACATGGAAACCTGTAGTAGTGGGTTGTATTGCTATATAATCCATTTATCTACAATTCATTATACTTTTACACGTTAATAACGCTTTTTTATTAGTATACTTCAAGTAAAGTAACGTACGACTTGTAGCATCAGTTCAATATTTTGGAAATTTAACTGATTGGTATGGTGAGTCATAATCTTATTGAACATTCACTGTCTATTATAATATTAAAATACTGGTAACAGCATACGACTCAATACTTCATGTTTGTTCACTTAAAAATGACACAAATTGTTCCATATTCCAGTGAGAGTCATTTCTAGGTCCCTGGGATAAGTATTGAATAAACAATGGGTTGTAATTTGTATTCGACAGGTGCAGAGAAGGCAGAACATGAGATGTGGGTGGTTACATTCTTAAGTGAATTAGTTTGCATTTCTTTTATGAGTATTTGTCGTACAGCCATTTTATGGTATTTTTTTAAAAACAATCCTAATTGTCACTGGTCTCTTGACTTATTAATTTCTCAGTGCAACTTACGAACTAGTCTTAGGTAGACTACTATTGGAAATTTAGAAGCGCTGAATGACCGTCTTGTCCTAATATTGGGACTCCTCAAAAGCGAGCATCCAAGACACTTCACACGGGGATCGAACTCAGGACCTTCAATCTCCCACATAAACGCTTAATATCTAAACCATTGTGCCGGGATACAATGATATACATGTTTAACTTCAGTCATATACTCACTAGTAACTAGCTTCAATATATAATTTCTGGAGTTTCGATGAAAAGCCGTGACCGATGGATTTCAACCGCGTTGTGTATGAGACACTTATCCACCTCAGTCAATGGAACATGGCCAGGGAATATCGTGAATTGATTAAAGTTAGACATTTACTATCTCACATGCGACACAAATTGAATTCATTGGTCACGGCCTCTCACTAGAACTCCAAGAGTTACATCTTGAAGCTAGTCAATAGTGAGCACATGATTTCTGTTATGTTTTTTGAATTGAAAATATACTCGAGTCCGTTTAGTCATATAAATGAATAACCAACTTTTGTGGCAGAAGTGTTATTTATGTACTTAAATTTTGTAAGTTATAGTACAGTTTAATCTTGTTTTTTTTAATTGTTCACTCGCCAAAATTAAGGATCTCGGTCCTAAAAAGTACTTGCGCCTGCTTGTTTCACCATGTGGCTCTTCTTTTTAAAGACTTGGAAAATTGGAGATTTTGTTGGTTCTGTGAAAATGATATAGTTGTATTGGAGAACTTAGTTCTAACTCCTTGGACGACATAATTTCGATACATTGGGTACCTAGTACTTGCGTCTGAAGGTGAGGGGTGCGTATAACATCTTGTTTGGTTGTTGGTGGGAGTTTGCTGATTCACTATACAACCAAATAATCATTACCTTTTGTGTCAACAATTTCTTATAATATTCCCAGCCCTATCTTTTGGTGATGAATCCGATGACGTGTGAGATATATTAATTAATGTATCAAGATTGGTATCAATGCTTACTTCATGTTTCAAATAATAATACTTCGTTTATCCTTTTTAATCTATATTTTAAAAATGAAACAATGAACCATAGTTACAGAATTCACTTTGATTAATTTATTTTCTTCAAACTCAACATGATCACGTATTTTCTTATCAGTGTGCTCTTATCCTTTTGGCGTATGAAACATTCCATATGATGTATAAGTATATTATAATCTCAACAACGCTTGAAAATTTTGGATTTTGTTATTTTTAGGCAAAACACTGTTGGCCCAAACTTTGGCTAATTATTTAAATGTACCTTTCGCTCTTTATGATTGTACAAGTATAACCCAAGCTGGTTATGTTGGTGAAGATGTCGAATCAACCATTGGTAGATTATTACAAAATGCAAATTTCAATGTGGAACTTGCTCAACAAGGTATAGTGGTTCTAGATGAAATAGACAAAATAAGCTCTAAAACTGGGCATCATCATGCTGCACGAGATGTCAGTGGTGAAGGTGTTCAACAGGTGGGATATATATATATATATATACTTGGTTGTGATATTTTATATTACTTTTTACATGTTGAGTAATGTTTCTGATATAAAAGTTTTACTGCCGCAAAATGCTTCGGTTCAGGAGCCTTGGGTGGGGGAGTCTGCAGATGCTGTCTGCGAAATTGAAAAGACGCAAAGTGATTGTCTAGAGCTTAAACCGATTTGGTGGATACAAATGACCCATCTACAACAGTTGAAAAACCCTGATCCCAAACTAATGGTACACACGAGATCCACTATCCTAAAGTAACAAATGGCGTATACAACTATTCCTAATCACCGTATATTATGGGAATGCATCTCCTAACGTTGCTCAACAGCCTTGTGGATTAGATTTCTAGTCCACAATTTCTGGGAGTGCTTCCCTATACAAACCACTTGCTTTGGTTTGGGCGCCCGGGCAGTATCCCAGCTCTCACAAATTTTGTGTGATGCATATATACTTTGGTCCGCCTTTGTATCTGTTTCTAAGTTATAATAATAATAGTTATACAATTTTACTGTAGTTAGTTTGTTGCTCGAATAAAAAGGTATTTTAATTGGTTCTTACTACTGCCGCTACTTTCGTTGTTAACACAATATTTATGTGAAATAAATGCTTGTTTGATGTTTTTTCCCCACTATCCAGTTATCTATTTCTTATTTCTTCTTCAAAAATCATATTTGTAGGCTATGTTAAAACTGTTAGAAGGTTCACTTGTTAACGTACCTGATGTCAAAAGTCCGCGTAAATTACGTGGTGAAACTTTCTTAGTGGATACAACCAACATACTTTTTATAGCCTGTGGTGCATTTAATGGACTTGACAAGATAATTAGTCGACGAAAACATAAAAAGGTTTGATTGGTTTCTGTTTTTTTGTTGTTCTAAAAAAATTTCCTTACTTTATCTTACGTTTTTATTTCAGGTCATCTGAAATACTTAATTTGTGTTGTTCTTAATATACCCGTAGATCTAGTTAAACACTAAGTTTTATTCACCTGTATTGGTTGGTTAAATTTTCCCATTGGTTTTAAAACTGCGATTGATCAGTCACTTGGTATGTGCACGTCGTGTGCGGATTGCCCCGATATCCTCATTAAGTTACACACACTTTAAACAGAGACGAATGATGGCTAGCAGTGGAACCCAGGAGGACATTTAGTTCTATTGGGGCTCTGGGCGCCCGTGCATCCCAGAGGTGATGTTGATTCCAGGACTCGATATCTATATATGATTTCTCTTCATTTTTTTACATTTATACGTTTCAACTATGCTCTCGAAGTGTATCGTAGTGTTCTGATTGAAGAAAAAGAAATTCAACTTTCCTATTGGAAGAATCTAAGTTGTGATGTGTTCTCTTCTTTGCTGATAGAGTCCAACAATGTCCGTGAATGCATTTAGGATGTGAGCACTTAGTTTTGTTGGTGAATTCAGTTTAACAGGTTCAGGTGAACTGATGCCAAGATTACATTAACTAGTGAGAGGGCTGTCAAGTTGTATGTATTCATTTTAATAGAAGGTTTTCGTACGTAGCTAACCATAGTGTACTATTAATTTAGCATTCTACTATTTACTATTCATATTTTGGAAATAATGATCGACTGTTGTCATCGGTTGATGACACACACTGATCTAAGTGACTCGACATCACGTTCAGTATGTTGAGATGTAAGGTGATGGTTGGAGGTAGTCTATAGGCAACTAGATTCGGTGCCGTTTGTCACTCATTACCAAGGTGATCTTCGGAAAACTGATACTCCTCGGGGGGGGTCGATCCTGTGTCATCCAGATTCACAGTCAAAAACGTTTTCGCTAAGCTATTCGGGTAGACCTGCAGGTTTGCTATGTATTTTACAGTTAACTGATCACTGAGTAGTGACCAATATGACATATCTGCAACTTGATCAATAGAATTCGAAGGACTTAAAATCTATGACATTGGTTGCTACTTAGTGATCAATCAATTGTAAATACATCTCACACCTGCAGGAGGTCTACCCGGATAGCTCATTGGTAACATCTCTGATTGTGGAGCTGGATGACACAAGATCGAATCCTCCGAGGGTCATCGGTCCCCCCAAGATCATCTTAGACGAGTGCCAAACGACACCAAACCTAGTTTCCTATCGATTATCTGGAACCATAACTTCATACCCGGAAAAATATTTCTGTATAATACTCTGTTTGCTATCGAGTAAATTGGACTATCAGTTTGTGGTGATGTTAGTTAAATTGATCTAGAAGTCATTTCCTAATATTACTGATCAGTAGTAGTATCCCTGTAACTTTTTTCCACCCAAGTTAATAAGTTTTCAGATTTTTGTAGTTTGAATTCACATTCACCTACGTTCTTTGTTTTAATTCAAATCTTAGACTATTGGATTTGATATGTTGACATCTTTGAATGAATCGACTACACAAGATAATTACACTTCATCAGTCAATCCACATACGACAGATTTTGTAAATTTATTTCAAAGTTTTGAAAGTTCAGCTCATGAAGAAAATGCTGAACGTGATAAATTGTTACAAGAAGTTGAAGCTAATGATCTTATTACTTATGGGATGATACCGGAATTCGTTGGTCGTTTCCCTATAATTACTGCTCTACATTCATTAAATGAAGAAATGCTTGTCCGTGTTCTTACAGAACCACGTAATGCACTGATAAAACAATATCAATTACTTTTTAATATTGATGGTGTAAGTGTTAGTTTTATAATTACTGTATGATCAATTAATTTCTCTCACTTTATTAATTATGCTTAAAATATTCTGAATTGAAACAATAGTGCACTTATTTACATGTATGTGCGTGTTTGTGGGATCTAACGAAGAGATGTTGATCAATTATACGGACACAGAAGCTGGCACATATTCACAACGGTTCAAGTTGCCACAGCACATCAGCATAGCGAAACGTCAGATTACTACAAGTTGCATCAATATTAATAGTAGTAGGACCGATTAGACATAGATTCGGTTCGAGAAAACAATATAGATTCTTTGAGTAAAGTTATTTATACGATCAAATGTACACTGCAGTTTATGTCATAAACATAAACAAAGATGAAATTTTAAATGTAAAAATACATTTGTTAGTAAATCGGTGTGTGTCGTAATATGACTGTGAAACTACTAGTTGAAGTAGCAGTAATATCAATCAGTAACATTCCTACATCAACCATCATCATGCGTCGAAATGAAAGGTGGTTGGGTATAGGCATAATTCATGTGTCTCAATAACTTCAGTCGACGAAGATTCACTACCGCCACATTATTCGATTTGTTATCCTTACCTGGTCACCATACATGAGCAGCAATATTCTCTCGTAGTTGTACTGGTCACAAATGTGTGTGATACTTTTCTAACATTTTTATTTCTCGACCATAGTTTACTACTTTATTGTTTACTAACAATAACAAAAGTGATAGCAGTAGAACTGTTTAAAAGGCAGTATATCCTGATCAGGAGTTTTGAAACGGAGTTGTTATAGAGCCGGAGAAATTGATCGTAAGCGTCACAGAAAATAGATAATGTTTAATAACTGTGGAAGTAGGTTAGTCAACATGATGATTTTCAGTATGGGGTTGGAGAGATTGCTGAATTTCATTGAAATCATAAACCTATCTAAGACAACCATTGAAAACCTGAAAGTAGTGAATGGCCATTTCGTCTTAGTATGGGACTCCCTGGAAATCCGTATACACAACCCTCCAACTTGGAATCGAACCCATGACCTTCAGTCCTGCCTACGAACGCCTAACCTCTAGATCACTGAGTAGGGATTCATAATAAGATAAATTTAAAATTGAAGTATCATCAACGCCAGGGAAATAGGACTAAGTCGGTCTAACAGGAGAAGTTAAGAGAGATAGTAAAGGATTTGTGAGACCAGAGATTACGATCATGTCTGAAGAATAGCATTGGCTCCTCAGATAACTTACTTATTTAAATATCTTGTACGTCATTTAAGTTAGTTGATATCATTTTCTAATCTATTTTGTTTCTCTATTCTGATTGTCTTCTCTGCCTTTCTATTTGTTTTTTTTGTTCTGATTCTTAGTGTGAACTGAGAGTCACTCCTGATGCTCTAAAAGCTATTGCTCGACTGGCATTAAGTCAACATACAGGAGCTCGAGGTCTTCGTTCAGTCTTGGTAATTACATGTTTCTTATGTCTTTTTTTAATTGTTTTTATTTCTTGTTTAGTGATTGTCTACTTACATTTAGTTTGTGTATATCATTCGTATTCGTCATGTTTTATGCTTTTTTCCACGATTCTCGATAACGATAATTGTTAAAGAATTGGTTTTTTAAATGAAAGTTGTTATGTCCTATGGCCCGTCAAATATTACGTGACAAGATCGCCAATCAGAACAACGACTTATATGACCTTGTCCGTGTGCTAAACCAATGATGCGTTAACCATCACAACCAGCGTTGAGTCAACTCTGGGTCCTCTGTATGGTAGGTTCTCGCCTAACCCAGCCTGGTTCAGTTCAGAACACAAATATCAGCCTCCGCTATATGAATCGTACACTTCAGACATACTTGGTTTATATGCAAGCAGACTAGACCACATCACACCATAAAATGTAAAATAATAATTAGACAAGATAGAGCCAAAAGTGTCTGTGAGTGTGAGAGACTGCAACTACTAGATTGGAAATTATTTTAGAATAATGAATCGTATAATAGTAGCCAGTAAGTCAAATGAAAGCTTATAATAAGAGAAATATAAATATATGTAATCTAGTTACTTGATAGTTATACAATAAGAATATGTACATATAATAACAGTCCATAAACAGTTCCTAGAAGTTACCCATAATTTAATCTTCTTTGGATATGACAGAGGTGGGCTTATATCTTCTAAGAAATCAAAATAATTTAGTGTGTTCTTCCTAGCTGTATAATGTTTGTTGGAAAATACAAGCAAAAATAGAAACATGTTGAATTGATTTGACATATTCATTGGACTTTTGTTTTTAAAGTGCATATTATAACCCCCACCTCTCATACTTATTCCTCCAAATTATATATTGTTAATAAAATTAGATGTATGCTTAAGCATCATATAGAACTAAACAGCTAAACTATGCCCTCTTTTCTCATGTTTCACCCAGTCCATAGAGCATTGGTATATGTGTTTAGAGCATTTACACTTTCAACCAATAAGTCTGAGATTCTAATCCTGTACTATTCGATTTAATCAGGTCTCATACAATGTTACTTAAAACTGAGTACATTTACATATAGTTTGGTGTTACATTAAGTAAAATAAAATAATGTCATTATAATCACGCAGATAAAATAATAATAGTATCTATAAGTTTGAATACTTATGGGTTTCTAAACAAAACATAATTATGTGAATAATGATCTTATATCATACAACTGATGTCAATGGCTCTAATTTTATGATCAGTTTATTTCATGATAGTGTTGGCTTTATTTATTGGACATTTGTGCTAGTAGTAGTGTTGTCGTGACAGTGTTTCTTCCTTGACATAGAAGATAATTAATAGTGATAAAATCGGACCGAATGCTTATTTCAGTAGCTTTTTTTTTCTAAAGGTTTTATTTTCGTGATATTCACTATATCGCTGACTGAAAATTCATTTTCATTAGGACAAAACAAACATCACAAACCCTTTTGATGTTGAATTATCAGACTAATTAACTGCATCGTACAACTTATATTCAAAGAACTTATATTTCTTGTTAGTTATAGTCCACATTGACAGAATGACCAAAGCCAGAAAAATCACACATCAAAGCTACATAACAAGCTAAAAGCATGTATAGATGAGCCATAATAAATAAGTAAATTACTTATCTAACCTAGTTCACTATACATATGTCCATGCCTGGGTTAGTCTGTCTATATTTACAAATACTTGTGAAATCTGAGTACTTTCATCCGACCTGTCGCAACACAATTCTCTCACAGTCTTTCTTTATCTTCAGTTGATTAAGCGTTAGGAGCATGGATAGTAGTTGATATAGGACGTGCGTCGTAGAAACGATCTGTCGGACTTGCGATTCGATTTCAGAAAGAAGAGCTTTTCAACAAAGAATGTTGGAAAAAGTGGTACCATTCCTTTGTCTTTTTATGTATTGATTGATTGAAATCTAACTCAATGGAACAATGTTCTTTCGTTATTTATTCTTTTTAATGTAATAAAAGTCATCGGCTAAATGTATGAAGCTACATAAATTTATGTCTGACCTATTCGCTTCCAGTTTAACCATATTATTTATTCATAAATTATAGAAGGTATCATTTGCTGAGGATGCTAGATCCCCAGAAATCACTTGGTTAACGTCTCATTTTTGTAATTTTATTCTAGAAATTTGAATTTTTAGTTTTCACGCCGAAAGAGCCTATTTTTACCTTCCGATTGTATTTTCCATTTGGTTCAAATTCAAATTTCTAGAATAAAATTACAAAAATGAGACGTTAACCAAGTGATTTTTGGGGATCTAATATCTCCGACATTATTGTAGAATCACTTGCCACAAGACAGATTGATCTCTGGACCATTACACTTTGTAGAAATTCATCAACTTCATTGTTCCTTAAACAAATGAAAATACTTTTATAATTTCATAGATTCAAGCATTTGAATAAAGCGAAACAATAATAAACTAATTTTATTTATTTGAACAAATAAAAATTGGTACAAGGGACACCAAATATATATGTGCCACACAATAAAAGGAGGTTGTGAAGTTGTGGAGAAAGGAAGGTAAGTATAATCAAAATAGGACAAAGATGAATAGAAATTATTGTGAGTGAATAGTGATAAAATAATAATAATAATAATATTGGGAGTATTTCAGTCAGGAAAAATACAACCAGAAAGAATCCTTTCAGTTAAAAAAGTTACGTTCACTTTTATGGAGGAATTTACAGTAGGTTCGCCATTATCTTTTATTATAAGTGATTTCTGATAGCGTCTCGAGTTACTGTGTTACGCTATCTCTAGGACCCTAACCAAGTAGTCATGAAGAACGAACAGAAGCCAGTCCTGTACAGCTTTCCTTCATACCACGACACCATATCGTGCACTGACCATCTCTCCGCTTTTTTCAACCAGTTACATCATCGGCATTTATGCACAATGTAGGACTCGCTGGTACAACATTTGTAGGACATGTCTAAGCCATCAAAGTCGGCGTTTCAAGATAGTGACACTGATTGAGTTGTCGTCACTGTGCTGAAATACGATGCTGAACCTCAGCATTACTAACATGGTGTTGCCGTTGAACGTAAGCAGGCCTTCGAATACAACGATGATCAAGCAGATAGTCGTTCAACATCCTCGACTTGGAGAGGCCAGGTTTCACAAGCATAAAGCAAAACTGCTCTTATCGATGCGTTATAGATCCGACATTTTACAGCCGGACTAGTCAATCAGCCACAACGTAGGACCATACACATATATGCATCGGTCCAAGTTGCCTCACCTCATTTGCGCAACAAGTTGAACACCAAATTCATATAAGTAGTTACTTCAATGGTAGTAATATTTAAAAGATTGTGTATAAGGATATAATACAGGAAGAAAGAATTAGTTTGCAGAAAGATATAAAGCAATTTTAATCTCACGGTTTAAGGGAAGACAGAGTGTATACACCTGTGCTATTGTGATCGATTCTGGGCCATGCCACGAGCATTTATGTAGCTACCCACATACACGAAACTCACAACCTACTATTGTGTGCACTTATTGCAGTAATATTCCGTCGGATACCCAATAATTTCGATAAAGTAAGCATCCAATTTCAATGTTTTTATTTCGACTGTTGTTATGAAAAACTGAATTTTTCCTGATATGTGGGCAAAAATGTATTCTTAGTGATTGGAACTTGAAAGATTATTCATAATAGAAACGAATCCTGTATTGTTCTAATATACGATCGCAGGTTGGTACAAAAATCAATAAGTTGTAGAGAGAACTTCTCTCAAACATTTACCTGTAGCAAACCTTAAGCTTTTCATCTATTTCTCTTGGACAAGTGTATTTGCTCTGTTCATTACTAGTACTATTGGTAGTATTTTCCTTTCGACTTCTGGTTTCCTGTCGATATATTAAATAGATAATAGAGCCCATGTTTTTTTAAGATAGTCGGACTTCATACAATAAGTCGGGAGTTCCAATCCTGCTTCATATACTTCGGTTTGGACAACCGGAAGCCATCATTACTGCTCATACATTTAGACTATGGCTCAGTCAAGTACATAAACGTGTACTTGTACGAAATTTGACAACTTACGTCATTTATGAGCTAACTTTTTAACTGAGTATCAGCTACAAATATAGTTGAATCGAATTTAAATTTGTAATTTAATGAATTTAGTTTAATCATATGAATACCGTTCCTACGGTTCCAAACCAGACAATTTATGCCTATATTCTTAGAGTTCTCTCTGCATTTGGGACTCAGTTTTTTCATGTGATCATATAGATTGTCTAAAGCCATCACATTCTGTCCAAGGCTTTTAATAGTATAATTCTCCAATATCCCCTATCCATACTCTTCTAAGTGTTTCTTAACAGTAGACTTTATGCGTGAATATTGTCACTTTCTTTAAAGAAATAATTTCGTACTGAACTTTTATCCTATTTTCCAAATTAGTGAGAAAATAATTTGTTTTTGCATAGTATATTCCCTCAATCTGAAAATATTTGTACTATTAATGTGTACTAATATGTTATCTCGCAGTTTTTCAATTCACTAATCAGCTGATGTTTTTTTCTCTATCTAGTAAGTTAATGATGATTTTATTTTAATCAAGGGACTTTATGTTTTCATAGTTATTTGTAGAAATAAAAATCCAGTTTTGGACAACGTCATCTGACTTATGATCAAATAATAAGTTTTGAATAAATGGAAGTGTTCATACTTTATACAATATAAAAATTGGCATTGTTTTAATCCATGCAGAATTTATCGGCAATAAATTTAAACATTTATTATATATATATCTAGGTAGAAATTCACTTGAGAATTATAGTATATACAGGGATGAGCTTAGAATACGGCCTTGACATATTTTAGCCCTACAGTTTAGCAACTAAATCGATTGTTTATGCGAAATCAAATAATAATAATATTACAAAAGGTAAACAAATTTTCTATAATCAAT